CCTGTTTGTTTCTTTCTCTCTCTCTCTTTTTTTAAAGATTTTATTTATTTATTTGACAGAAAGAGAGAGAAATCACAAGTAGGCAGAGAGGCAGGCAGAGAGAGAGGAGGAATCAGGCTCCCCACTGAGCAGACAGCCCAGGATCTGTGGGGCTTGATCCCAGAATCCTGAGACCATGACCTGAGTCAAAGGCAGAGACTTAACCCACTGAGCCACCCAGGCACCCCGCCTTCCCTGTTTCTATATGAATGTCCTCTAAGTGGTACTCTGACTTGTGGGGTCCAGGAGACAATCACCAAATGAGCCCCACCATTTGTAAGACCTATAATCCTTCTGCCCCACAACCATGTATGTCTCCTCCTGGCTACAGGGGTCCCTCCTCCAGGAAGCTTTCCATGATATCCTCAGTAGATGAGTCTCTCCACTGCCATGCCCTGTGTTTTCATTTCTGGGTTCTTTTTCTCTTCTCTCTTTTCCTCTCTATCTCTGTCTCTTTATATCTCTGCCCTGTTTTTGTCTTTTTCTATCTCTTGCTTTCCATTTCAGTGTCTCTCCTTTTCTCTCTCTCCCTCCCACTGTCTCTAAGTCTCTTACAGCCTGTCTCCCAGCCCCTCTCTCCCCCTCTCATCTGTCTGTCTTCTCTCTGTTTCCTTGTGTCCTGGCACTCTCTCCCTCTCCCGGGAGACACTCCTGGGAGTGTCTCTTTTCTCTCTCAGCCCCTCTGTTGTCTCCTCTCCCCTAGTCTCTGTCTCTGTCGCTCTGCGTGCCCCACCCCTCACTGTCCTGCCTCCCTTCCCTCCTCTCCTCGTCCATGTAGCCTCTGCAGATGAAATGGAACCGACCTTCCTGCAGAGAGCTGGCCAGGAAACAGCTGTCAGTGCTGGAAGGAGCAGCTGAGCAGTGGCCAGGAGACTCCAGGAGCCTGGGCAAGCCCGCAGGCTAAGCCCCAACATTGGGGCCCCTTTGGAAACTTTCCACACCTTCCCTGCAGGTTTCAGGATGGGCGTGGTGATGTTTTCAGGATTTGTGACCTTGGAGGCAAGCCTAGGCCCTGTCTGCCAGCCTCCGGGGACAGCATGCACCAAGCCCTGACTCAGGCTGGTGCGAGCTCCTGGGATTGGTGGAATCTGCGGGAGCATCACCAAGAGGCGGGGCGGGGGCTACAAGGGAAGGGGATCTGTGAGCTCAGGTCTCCTGGGGATAGGGTGAGATCAGGGCAAGGATATGGAGTAGCGGGTTTTGTCATTCATTCATTCAACAAACATTCATGAAGCCACCACTGTATGCCAGACTTGGGCTTAGCCCTGAGGCCAAGGATGAATCAGACGTGGCTCATGCCCTCGAAAAACTCAGTCTCCCTTCAAATGGCTTGTTGAGAACGCATTCTGACAGGGGCATCTCTGGGGGTGATGTGGGTGGGAAGATCATTCCAGCTGCAGAGAGAGAGCAAGGAAGGCCATGTCTGCAGTGACTCAGGCAGAAGCTGATGGGGACCTGAGCTGGTCAAGCATGAATAGGAGAGAGAAATCAGAAGGCCTCTGGTCACTCACTGGATGAGGAGGGCGAGGAAAAGTCAAGCCAGAGCCCATCTGAGTTGGATAACAGAGCTCAGTTGTGACACATCCCAGGAGGGGAGGGTGAGCTGGGTTTTGTAGACTCTGGAGGCTGTTAGGTACAGACGTCCGGTAGGCTGCCGGACAGTCAGGTCTGGGCGAGGACAGTAGTTCCAGAGTGGTCCACACTGCATGGTGATTGAAACCATCATGTGGATGATTTGTCCACAGATTGTGGGGGAGCAGAAGGCTATGGACATGATTCTTGAGGCCCCCACATTTACTGGACAGGAGAAGGGGGATGCGGGGCAGTGAGAGGGCTACAAAGAAAAGCAGGACAGCACCATGTCCTGGGGTCCTCTGAAGCCAAGCCCAGAGAGGGAAGGGCTGGGGCCGCACTGGGCGCACAGGCTCAGGAATGGGTGGCTGGTGTGTGTTATCCTGGGGCAGGGGTTCACAGGGAGGGCGCCCCTTGGAGCTATGCAGGAGCGGCCTCTTGTAGGGGGCAGGCAACGGGAGACTCTGGTCTCTGCCTTGCAGGGAAGGAAGTGAAGGCGGGCGTGGCTTAGAGAAGTAAAGATGGGATTTGCAAAAATCGTTGCTGATGGCTTCCAACTAGTTTCTCAAAGTATCTGGAGTCTTCTGTTCAGGCAGGGTCTGGAGCTGCTGAGGCTGAGGACATGGATGGGGCACTGACTGGACCCCGAAACGCTGTCAGGCAGCGCTCCGGATCCAGCTGGAGCTCTGTATGGCTTGAGCCCTTCCGAGCACCACCTCCCCCAGCATCAGGAATGTTCCTCTCAGAGCGGGTCGCACAGCTTAGTAAATATTCACCATGGCTCCTATGCAGCTGGAGGCGGCCTGCTCTCCCTGGTCGCTCTTGAAATCTTCTGGGCGGACCACTGCTGGGCCTGGAGGCCCTCGCCTTTAAAGGGTCTCCATGGAGGCATGGAAGGAATGGCCTTTGCTGCCAGGAGTAAATTCCAAGAACTGCTGGCAGGGAGCTCCTGCAACCCGTTTGCCAAAGGCCACCATGCCCAGGCTCCCTTCCAGCTCCGTCACACTCGGGGACCAGGCAAGTGGGCACAACTCTGTGGTCCCCCCAAGGACTAGCTTAGCTCATCACTCAAGAGTGCATGCTGGGCTTCTCCAAAGAACGGTCACTCCTCCTGCCTCATCAGGACCTCACCAGCCCCCGAAGGGATGCATGCCTGTTTGACACTCAGGAAAACAGGCTGGGGGCAAGGAAGCCACTTGGCTCAGGAGACGCATAGCCATGGCAGGAGATTGGGTCTCTGTCCTTAACAGGATTGGGTGAAGCCCAGTGTCCTGGGAGGGCCTGCTCATGCCTGTGTTGTCTGCGTGTCTTCCGCACTCGGCTTCTCGAATGAGCCTGTTATAGCCTTCCACATGCTATTTCCCCTGCCTGGAACACCCCCCCAACCCCATGCCTAACTCTCGTGCTCACCTGGCTAATTCTTATCCCACCCTTCAGCTATCACTGCCTCCTCCAGGAAGTCTTCCCTGACTTGAGGTTGTACTTCCGTACTTAGCCCCGATCAAAAGACCTTGATTCTGAGACCAAGTGCCTGGAACAGGCCCCTGTCTCTTCACCACTGGCTAGCACTCGAGATCCACTCGCTCAGTGCTTGTCAGATTAATGAACTGAATCAGTAAAGAAAGGGAGGGAGGGGGAATCCATTTTGGTCGGGTTCTCCAGGGTCAAACAGAAGCTTTCCCCAGAGAGTCTGAGAGCCGGGGAGCCCATGGATCCCTCCCTTGTACAGAGACATTAAGAGCATTTGAGCATAATGGATTTGCCTGAGGTCTCAGAGCGCGTGAGGCAGGTCCTGGACTAGACGCCAGGTCTCATTCCCATACCAGTGGTCTCTCGCAGTGATCCCAAGGTGGACTTCAGGGACAGGGGTGGGCCAGCGCAAGAGAGCAGAAGCCGGCCCAGAGGTGTGCAGGGGGGCAGCGGAGGGGGTAGGCTCCACCCTCCGTCCACCGCTCTGCAGTCCCCGCCTCACCCCCTCTGTGCCGGAGTCTCTCCGGTCCCACCCAGCTTGTCCACTGTCTGCTCTCTTCAGACCTCCCCGGGGCTGTTAGCGTGCTGACCTTCCAGCTTCCCACCTGTCACCACCTGTCACAGGCGATTAGACTAATGGCACAGGGATTTCCCCCCAGGTTCTGGGCTGAATGGGGAGCTGAGGGGAACGTGCCGCCCATGGGAGTGGGGCCGCAGGGCAGGCACATGGGCTAAGAAGCAACAAGGGGTCACTGCCACTCTGCCCACATCTAACAGGTGGGGAGATCGAGGCCCAGGAAGGACGAGGGGCTGGCCAGGGTGCTGACTGCCGTCACTTAGCCTTCTGAGGACCCTTCCTCACCGGAGCCTGGGAGAGCCTTGGCTGTTGCCAGACTTCATGCCTGCGTCCTGCTGAAGGAGACCATTTTCTGGGCTCATCTGGGGCTGTGGCTCTCTGCATTCTGAGCCACCAGCAACAGGGCTGGCCTCAGCGCAAGTGCACCATAAACATTTGTTGAATGAATGCTTAATGGGTTGGGGTGAGGATGCCAGCACCCCCCAAGCAGGAGCCACCTCGACAGTGTTCGGCTCCGGCTTTAGACCCCTTCTGTGCCCCCGCTGCTGTCTGCTGGACCTGCAGCCGTCGCAACCATGTGTTGCTCTCTCCTTCCCCAGAATCTGACACCTGGCGAGTTTTCTGGGGCCACTTGGGGCCTGGATTGTAATGTGTGGTTCGCAGAGGCTGGATAGAAGGTGAACGAATGAATCCACGAAGGTCTCTGCCCTGTGGAGCCTTGTGGGGAGACAGACATGAACACGGAGAACCCACTCGCGTGCTAAGGAATGGGCCCTCAAACTGCTGGTGGAACTCACGAAGATGAGCCACAGACCTGTTGAGGGCTGGAGGGCTTCTTGGAGGAGGTTTTCTCCAAGCTGGGCCTTGCATGACCCCTTTCGGCTGCTCATTTCTGTTGCTTGTCTTACATGGGCTGAATTCACTTTACTTTTCTGGTATAAAACTGTGTGGCAGCCACAGCTGGAGCCTGGGTCCAGTACCCGGAGACTGTATTGCAGGTCATTACCATCTGAGTCTGGGGTCAGCCTCAGGGTACGAGGCACAGCAAGGCCACTTGAAACACTTGTGACCTTTGCCACAATGCCAACCACTGTTCCAGCAGTCCTCCTACTAGCCCAGCAGGGAATGCTACCATCATTCCCTTTACAGAGGGGAGCCCACGGAAACTGGGGCCTGAGGATTGGGGCCTGCAGAGCCAGGATTTGGACCCATGCCAAGGTGGCACCGGGACAACATCCAGACACACTGTACCATCTTGGGTATAGGAGGTCCCTGGCCTGAGGGGTCCCCAGTCGCTGTGACTTGGCATGTGGCTGAGTCCACTCTGTCTCTTGTGTTCTAGGTCATTTCCTGGGAAACAACACAGTCATCGACGTCCTTCGGCAGGCAGGGCTGGAGGTGGAGCACACACCGGCAGGGCAAACAATCCACAGGTGAGAAACTCAGGCATCTGGGGGGTACGGGCCTGGCAGGCCTGCTGCCACCACCACGAAGCCTGCCCGAGCCTGTGGAGCATGGCTGGGCTGTACCCTGTCCTCCTGCTCGGCTTGCAGGGCAAGTTGTGAAGAAGCCTCGTAGGGACCCGCTGTGACCAGGCAGCCAGGAGTGCAGGGGCTGGGCTGGAGGTGAGGGGACTGGGAAGAAAGCTGTCATGCTATCTTGGCAACCTGGGAGGTGAGGTTGGGGGACAGGGCAGTGGGAATGGGAAGAACGTTAGATCCTGAGAGATGCTCAAGATTTAGAGCCTGGTTGGGGTGGGGTGGGGGGGAGGACTCTGCAGGACACCTGGGGTGCTGCCTCGAGAACCGGGGGATGCCCGGCCCCACCCACACCTGTTCCTCACCTTCCTCTGACCACACCTCTTGGCTGTGCCCTCCTACCCGTGACTTTCCCATCAGGACATACCTTCTCCACTCAAATAGCCATCACTGGGCATCTGAGGGGTTCCTGTCCCTACCCTAGGTTGGGGGTCCCCTGGGCCCACTTGTGGTCCACAGTGCCAGGGCAGGCATGACAGGGTGTCAGCCCATACTGGGCAGCTCTGGGGGAGGCAATGACAGCATCCTCAAACTTAGGGATTCCCTGCAGCCTGTACCCCAACAGTATTGCCGGAAACTTCCTCACTAGACAACAAAGGCAACCACAGTGCAGTTTCAGCCCCTGTCTCTGACGTGACATGAGCCACAGTCAGAAAGAAGCTTGAACAATCATAGCCAATATTTATTGGTGGTTCACTGTACACCAGGCTCTCAGCGTTTCTAGCTCATTCAATCCTCTCAAAAGCTCAATGAGTTAGGAACTAGAGTATCCCCACCTTGAAAGTGAGGAACTGGAGGCCCAGAGAGGTGAAGTCACTTGCAGAGGGATACACAGCTCATGGTAATGGCAGTCTGGCTCTAGACCCTCCCTAAACTCCTAACCACTCCCTGTCCCCTCTCTGGGGACTGGAGGTGGGCTTGGGGGCAGGGATGCTCAGGAATGACTGAGGCTTTGCTCCTTGCTCTGCAGAAATGAGGCTTGGACCCCCTAGCCCACCAGAGCTTTGAGCCTCTGGTCTCCTAGCTCTGGGCCAATGCTCACTGCTGTCTCCATGGCACTTCTAGAGGACCTTAAAAAGTCCCTCGTATTGGACTCCTTCCTCTTCTGATCATCTGAGTCAAGCTCATGACACTGTTCTTCCTGAACATTTGAGTGCAGCACAAAGCAGTCTGCCCTGGGCCAGCGCAGGGGTGTGCTCGAGGAGCGAGGGACCCAAGGCAGCCTCGGGGACAAGGCATTCCGCACACTCCCCTTCACAGCCCCAAGGACTTCATCCGAGGCTCATTGTGTCTGTCCAGGCCAGTCAGGGTGGGCAGACAGGCCGGGGAGGCTGCCTCTGCTCCTATTCATCTCAGAGCCCAGGCATTAGAGGAAGGCCCCCCGCCTCTCCCGCCCCCCTGCCCGGCCCTGCTCCGAGAGCTCTCAGGCTGAGCCTCCAGCACACGCTGAAATCCTGCGGGTGGGGTGAGGGGCCAGGATGCTGAGGAGGCCCCAACAATAAAAGCCATCATCGGCCACAGGTGCTTCCTGGATCCATCTTTTTGTCCGCCTGTTTTGAATTATCTCCCTAGCAGCTGCAGCATCTCCTGAACCCTGGGAATCTGGGCTTGCCATGGGGGCTGGGAACGGACAGGCTGAGCCGATGGCCTTCTCTCCTTCAAGGAGGGAGAAGCCCTTCACCCCATCGTGCATGCGGGACTGGAGGAGGAGGACAGGCTGTGTGCCGCCTTGGGTGTCACTGGAACTTTATAGTTCCCCATGCCACGTCCAGCCTTCTGCCAGGGCCTGATGTCTTCCAGAGGAAGTCCATTCGGGCCCCAGAGAGGAAAGAATAAAAGGGAGAGGAGCAGACGATGTTCCCAGGCTGAGAGACCTGTGTATGTAGCGCTGTATGGAATGTGAATTCCACGACCACACGCCTAATCAGTGTTTCAGTGCCCACTACAGCCAAGTCCCTTTGCCTGCAGGCCAGGTTTAAAGAAATGCTTGTTATGGGTCAGGCACTGTGTTAGGACCTCAGCTCATTCATCCGTGCGACAAGCTTAGGAAGTAAGTGGGAATAGAACTATTCCCATCTCGCGCCTCCCTGCTGCTCCTTGGCCACACAACCTGTAAGCTGCAGAGCGGGATGTGAACCCGCGTTTGTGTACCTCTAGCTGGAGCTCTAACTTGCTGAATGCTGTCCTGCCTCCCCGGAAAGGTGTTCAGGAAGTAGATGATGAATGCACGGATGGGGGGCTGGATGAACAACACAAGCAACCATGTTACTATTTAATAATACTTAACGACTCACGTTCATTACTAAAGCATTTCAGCTGTTAACTACGAGCCAGTCACTGTTCTAAGGGCTTTGCCCGGGTTCACTTATGAAATCCGCATGATGCCCCGCAGAAGCGTGGGCTGTGGCATCCCCGTTTCGCAAAGCAGGAGAACAAGGCACAGCGCGGTTAGTCACTTGCCCCAAGATACTCAGCCAGAGTTTGTGGAATGAAATACCCTGACGAAGGTCAGATATGCCCTCCAGAGACCTGCCCATGGCTCGCCCCCTCCCCTCCCAAGAGTCTGGGCTCAAACATCACCGGGCAATGGCCACACCCCCTGCATGCCAAGCACCCTCCACCTCCATGCTCCCTCTCCTGCCCCCCTCAGGGGCTCTCACCATCTGCCATCCTCATTGTCCATCTTCCGCTTCGAAGTGCGAGCTCAGAATGGACAGGAACCCAGTTTGGACTGTTCTTGCCCAATCCCTAAAAGAGTGCCCGGCGCCTGGAGTCCCTCAATGAAAGGAGTCAGAGCTCCATCTCCCAACACCAGATACTCTCGCTGAGTGCAGCAGGGGCACCCAGCTTCTTCTCCTGTGGTGACAGCCTTCCCACTGGGTGCCATTCCCTGTTGTGCATGAGTGACACAGTCCCACACGTGCACCTCACGTGCTCTTGCCCGTTTCCAGCCCCGCCGCCCGGAGCCCTGAGCCCCCACCGGAGAGGACCTCGGCGAGTCCGGCCCCAGCCACTCCTGCTGCTGCCGTCCCCGCAGCACCCTCAGCAACCCCCACCATCCCGCCTGAGGAGGAGGACCCGGCCCTGTCCCCACACCTCCTGCTCCCCGACAGCCTCAGCCAGCTGGAGGAGTTTGGGCGGCAGAAGAAGTGGCACAAGAGGCAGAACAAGCAGCAGAGGCCACGGCAGTTCAATGACCTATGGGTTCGCCTCGAGGACAGGTGAGCAGGGACGGGGCGGGCCGTCCGGGGCTGGCCACCTCTCCTGCCGGCCTCACACACACACATACCCCTGCCCCAGGGCCACAGCCCCTCTCCTCCCTGGGTGCTCCTCAGAGGAAGTGGGCCAGGTGGGCACTTGAGTGGAAACTTCTGGGGAGAGCTTGACACTCCCCCACCCCTGTTCACAAAGCCTCCTACTGTTCATCTAGCAGGGCTTACAGAGCAGGCTTACATCTGATTTTTCATCTTTAGTCTCAAAATGAGAGCAAGTACACTTTTTTCCATTTTAAAGATAAGGAAACAGAAACCTAAGGTGCATTGGCCAAAAGTCTGCTTTGCCTTTAGCTTCCCTGGATGCAGCTGGGGTGCAAAACAGGCTATGTTTGTCCCCAGACGGTGACAGTAGGAGAGAACAGCGCAGCCTGGCTCCGTGGAAAGGTTGTGAGCTCCCTGTCCCTGGAAGGTCTGAGTGGCCAGCACCCGGTCAGGGAGGGAGCAGAGGGTCCCACTCTGCAAGAAAGAGATGGCAGGGGCTGACCACTGCCCTTATGGCTGTGGGCTCCATCTCGGGAGAGGATGGCATTCGTGGTGCACGGCAGTGAGCATGGGCAGGTGCAGAGATCATCCTACTGTGCTAGTAGTACCAGTCTGTCCCCTGCCTGCGTGCCCCTGCTGCCCCTGTGCCACCCTCCCAGTCTGTCTGTCATCGTAGCTCCTACTGAAACCAGGATGCTGTCTCCCAACTTTTGCCTGCAGGCTCAAAACAGTCTCCCTAGCTTCCGCGTTGGGGTGCGAGTCTCTGTGTGTGGTGAACAGTGTCACCAGAACACCTGAGATGCCCCAGGGAGTGACTGTCAGTGGAGGTCGGGGTCCTATCCACTGCGGTAGCCAACCCTGGCCCTCGTGCCCCAGCAGTGGGCCCTTGGAGACTCGGAGTCTCCCCTGAGCCCTAAAGACCATCATCTGGGATTTCCCCTGCACCCCCAGAAAGAGTCATCCGGGGTACCTGGAAACAAACATAGGTCCAGGCCCCCGTGGCCCTCCTAATCTGACCCTGCACCACAGGGGCCTGGGGAGCTGGGTGCTGTGTCTGCCCTCGGGCTGAAGTTGCACTCAGGAGACTTCTCCACAGCTTTGGGGAATGTGGACCTAGTTCTGCATTTACAGGCTGGGGGAAAAGGGATCTGTCCAGGGTCACACAAGCCATCAGGGACTGCCTCCAGCCTTGTCAACTTCATGGTCCTCCTGCAGCCAGGTGTCTGAGTCTATGACAAAAGGATGATACAGTCCAGTCCGTTCTTCTAAAGTCTGAGAGGTGTGCTATTCTACAAAGACTTCCAGCAACTAGTTGTGGAGCCCACTGCTCCTTTGGGCTTTGGTTTCAGAGCATCTGACTTGGGTTACTGGGAAATGTGCAGCGCCCCGGCCAGCCTGCCTGCCCCCCACCCCTGCTCTGCCAGGGACAGAGGCACCACTGTAGCTCTATTAGCTGTGACATATTCGGCTCACATGCCCTGCGTGGGCCGCCCCCTCCGATCCAGGAGCGCAGGCGGGCAGCTGTCAGAGGGCCTCTTCCTCAGTGCGGGGCAGGGCCTGCCACCTGACAGGAGGAGCGGGGCCGGTGGAGGCACGGCCGGCCCATGGATAGCTCCCATCAGGAGGGGGACTCGGGGCCCTCATCAGCCTTTTGGGGCAATCAAGAGACCCAGTCTGGGGTGGGCCTGGCCCATGAGGTGATGGGGGCCGGCTGTCAGCTCCAGCAGCGGACCCCCGACTCTAACCACTTCTGAAAGGTAAATTTCAGCAAACGGCTCCAAACGGTTTCCTTTTCACAACACGTAGCTCTGAAACACAGAGCCTGGTTTCAGGAGAAGAAAATAGCTTTTCTTTGGCAAGGGGGAGCCCCTTCTCCAACCTAACAGGTAAATTGTGGTTGAATAGCTTTCTTCCATCTGGTGGGGTTGGAGAGAGAAGTTTCCATGGATGGGCACCCTGTTTGGGTTCTCGACGCTTCTCAGGGAAACAGGGCTTGAGCTCCTTGAGAGGCCTAGGTGGGGCACCCTTCTGTCACTCCCAGGGGACTCACCCCACCTGCCCAGGGTTTCCAAATTTCCACTTCTCTGAGAGGGAACAAAGGCAAGCTCTCCCAAGAGGGAAGCTGAGGCACATCTGTAGCCTCTCTAACAAAATCGTTATCCTTGGAGCTGTAACTCCATCCCAGGTTTTCTTATTTTCCTTCCCCCACATCCATCCCCTCTCCCACCCTTCCCCCCCCCCCCCCCTCTCCCACCCTTCCCCCCCCTCCCCAAGCACACTGCCCCCAGCAGTCTGAGATTCTTTGGTGCTCCCTGCCTTGGCCAGGCCAGCTTCCTCCTGCACAGCCTGGACACAGAGCCGTGGCCTCCCCTCCGGCCTGGGGCTGCCGCTCCTGCGGGCCTTGACCTTGCCAGGCTGCATGCCGCCCCTCAGCCGGCTGTGCCCGGCCCTCCTCCTCCCTTCGTTCTTGCTTTTCTCTCTGCCAGGGGTGGGCACGAGGGGACATTGGCTGAACTCCAACAGCAGACTCGTGCCCCGGGTCCTGCCAGGAGTCTGGGAAGTAAGCTTTGTTTGTGAAACAAGGAGACTGAGGCCCAGCGAAGTCAGGTAACGTGTCTAAGACCACACAGCGAGTGGGCTGTGAAGTCGGAGCTCACACTCAGGGCTGCCTGACGCTAAAGGTCACATTTGCCCATGGCCATGCAAATGCTCCTCCCGCAGCCGCCTGGCAAGCATCTCCTCCATCCACACTGGCTGTGTCCCTTCTCTCCTCCCCCACATCCCGCAGCCCCCGAAGGCGCCCCCGTCTCAGCACAATCACATGGGCTGCAGTCCCTCACTTGGGTTTAAAGGCCTGGGGGCTCTGGGCACCAGGTCCATGTTGGACTTCTCCAGCTGCCAGGGGCCTCATGGAGGTTTTGTGGACCCTCCCCTCAGCCCTCATTCCCTGAGACGGAAACACCATGGAGGAGGTTTAGAGAAGCAACAGCCCTTGGCAGAGTGATTTAGGAGGACCCATGGAAAGGGCCAGGCATGTGTCCGCAGACAGCTGTGAAGTGGTGGTACAGAACTCTCAGGGAGCCCCCACATCGGAGGGCCAGGAGGGTGGCAGCCAGGCAGGGCTCATTCCCTGGCTGTGTGTGATATGGGGTTCGTGACAATCCTCAGTCTCTCCTTCTGTGCAGGTAGGGCCTTGACCGTCTCCAAAGGTCAGGCCAGTTCTGCTGCTCTCTCCCTCCACAGCTGCGCTATGTGTGCATGTGATGAAGGTGGAGGGTTGGATAAAGAAGGGGGCAGAGTGCGGGGCCATCAGGACAGACAGTCATGAGGAGGCAGGTGCAGGAAAGGGAGCTCCTTCTAAGTGCTGGGCATGGCTGGAAGCAAGGCACAGGTAGGCCTCAATGTGGACAAACCCAGAGGGCTTGTGAGTGTACCGTACTGGACACACACACACACACACGTATCATTGTTCTTCTGGGCCTCAGTTTCCCTGAGGTTTGAGCAGGTGCCCAGGGCCCCCTCAAAGGGGAAAAGACACTGTTCCACCTCCTAGGCCCCTGGGAGAGCCGTGCCCACCTCCGCCTGGCCTGCCCATCCCGCCCCAGGCTCCCCAGCTCCAATTTCTCCCAGCAAAGCCAGACCTTCTCCTGAGAGGGTCCTGCATGGTCGGCGTCTCTGTGTGAGGCCGGAATGCCGTGAGATCGCAGGTAGAAGATACCCTGTGAGAAATGGGAAACAGGATCTCCATGAACAACAGCACAGACAAAAGCAGGCAGAATGGGCATCAGAGCCCAGCCCTTCGTGGGGCTTGCTTTGAGGGTTAGAAAGCAAACAACAGGATGCTATGAAGTGGTAAGCTGGCGCCAGGCCACCTGTGATGCTCAGTGACCGTGGTCTCCAGAACTGCTGGTGGGACTCTTGGGCTGGCCTCAGATGCCACTCTCCCCGCCCCAGCAGGAGCTGCTCAGGGGCCCTTAGCTCGGCTTCTCCTACAAGCCTTCAGTGAGCCTCTGGGTGGGTGCTGCTCCTGCCGCTTAACAGGAGCACACTGGGCACACGCCAGTTACCCAGCCCCACGTTGCTAGGCACAAGAGCAGGTGGGGACAAGAGCAGGAGAAGTCTCAGGTCACGGCCAGCTCCCAACACAGTGTGGCCGAAGAAGCCCTGGAGCCCCGGAGTGCTCCTGTGCCTGCAAAGGAATCAGATAGCCGGGGCCAGGGGGAGGATCAGGCCATTCCCTGCAGAGAAGGCCATGAAGCCAAAGGCATGGAGGTGGGCACAGGCCTTCGACATCAGGACATCGAGCTGCAGGGATACCTGTTGCCACAGATCTCCACCAGCCTCTGACCCGCGTGGCTCGAAGAGGCAGAGGCCAGACCACACTGACAGTGGGGTCTCCTCCAGCCGGACCACATCAAGGGCTGTACCCCCGGGCAGCAGGACCACCAGTCACCCGGACCCCAAGTCCCCTCTATACTCTGTGTCCCTGGAAGCCTCCGAGAAGGTCGCCCAGGGCATAGCCAGTAGCCCTTTGCATTGGGAGGAAAGCCACCACCTACGAAGACCCCCAGCACCCAGCCCTAGATGCTCTTGGAGACCCTCTAGGTGCAGGGGTCCAGGAAGCCCCCTGGAGGGGCCTCCGTGGGCAGACAGCTGACACTGTCTCGAGCAGCAACCCTCCTCTGTACTTTACATCTTGAGCTTCTGCCTGAGCTCTCCGTTCTGGCTTCTACCACTAGAAAACATTTTTAAATGCATGGGTCTGTTCCTGCTCCTTCATTGCACACATAGGGAAACTGAGACCTAGATGACAGGACTTGCCCCAAGTCACACAGCAGACGGGGACATATGGCATTCTTGAACAGGGCTTCAGCAGTCCACCCAAGCAGTGGGGCCCTTCCCCATGCGAGGGGCCCAGTCGGCTCGGAGCAGACTCAGCCTGTTGGTGCCAGCCGTCTGCGGAGCCTGGGAGCCCTCAGTGTTTGGTTTGGCTTCAAGGCCCCTTTGCCATGAGACAGTTTTCCCCTGCATGGGCCTGGGATCTTGGAGTGGGGGGAAGGGGGATCTGGACTAGGAGACTGAGCTTTGTGAGCAGAGTGGGCTGGGGAGGTGGGGGTATTTGGAGGGGCTTTCCGCCCCCCACCCCATTTCCCTGGGACTCCTTCCAAGCAATAAAACGCCCTGCTCAGGCTCCAAGGGGGAGTGTGCATCTTTGCTTTTCAAAGTGTGAAAGCAAATGCCTTTGGGCGCCTTGCAAGACATAATTTTCCTAACTCCTACTTATCTTCCTTCTGATGGCGGGGCTGGCTGCAGCCTGCCTGGGCCCCCCTGCAGATGGCACAAAGCCTCTCCTCTTGAGGCCGGGCCTCCTAGCCTCCTGGCTGCTCAGGCTGAAAGCACAGGGCAGCTCCTGGGAAGGGACCATCGTGGACCCTTTGTGTAGCGTGTGGAACTTTTCTCATTAGAAGAGAAAGGGAGAGAAGGGGCTCAGGTAGTGGCGTGGGCTCAGGCATGACCCTCCCGGGGCCAAGCCCTCCCTCCTCCCACCCCGGTGAGCCTCCACACACGGGTTTTCCAGGTCTCAGCAGGAAGCAGCGCGCCGACCTGTGTGCCCTCCACCGGGTGATCCTCCGTATCCCGATCCCCTGCAGGCTGTCCCGTCAACCTGGAAATGGGGATAATGAGGTGACACGGGTACTGCATTGCAGTGTCTACGGGCTCCTAGGAAGCGCTTCATAAATGGAGGAAGCTGCTCACGGGGACCGACGCACACGAACATACAATGCTAAAGAGCCGAACCGTGTCATGTGTCCAGCGAGCCGGGCACTGCTCGGGGCCCTTCCCGAGCGGGAGTCCATCCAAGAGCCTCTGTAGACATAGGTACCTGTGTGCGACATGGCTGCAACAGTGAGACCCACGTGAGGTTTTGTGGGGATGTTGAACCAGGCCTTCATGGGTGGGACAAGGCAGCAGGACAGTCAGGGTGACTGGACAGGGTGGCGCGTGCTGGCGGAGGCAGGATAGGTGAGGTCGGCTGGTCCCCAACTGTGTGAGAGGTCTCAGTGTCCTGCCGGCGGATACAGGGTGGGCCATCCTCTGCCAGGCGCTGTGGGTCATCGCGGGCAGTCAGAGCCACCTGGTCTGCCTGCTTCTGTTCCACAGGCACACTCCCTCCTCTCCTCCTAGCTATTCTTGAAGTTTCGAAAGACAGAGGAGCACAGTTCATGACCACTGTAGATGCCAGGTGGAGAAGAACTTCATGTGAGGGTGCGGCAGGTTCTCGTGGCTGGAGTACGACCAGGAGTAGGGAACGAGGGACAGGCCAGGAGCGAGGACCTTCTTGACTGAGGGCATCTGGACACCTACTTCCTGAGCAGAGGCCCCAGCCTGCTCGGAGGCAGGGGCATGCATGGTGACCCCAGGCTGAGCCAGGCTGTGTGAGGGGCATCTGGCCCGGATGGCTGTGGGGCCAGAGCTTGGTGGTGATGATGACGGAGTTCACAGTGGTTATGGCCGATCATTGGGACCTTGTGTCTGGCACATGGAAGTGCAGGCCAAGGTAGAGCAGGGGACAATCTGAGGGCCCAGCAAGTGAACAGCCTCCTGGGGAGGGGCAGTAAGCACTGGAAAACAGGGCCGCGTCCCACACGGAGGAGGCTACCCACACCACAGACACCCAGGGAGGGGCAAGCTTCCTGCCCCTGCCTCAGCTGCTAGCAAGCACCTTCTGTGTGCCTGGTTCAGATCCCAGCCTCCTTGTGAGTCCTGGAGCAAGTTACTTAACCTCTTGGTGCCTCAGTTTCTTCCTAAGTAAAATGGGGATAAGAGTCGGATCTGCCTTATAGTGTGGCCATAAGGATTAGGGGTTGATGTGTACTAGGTGCTGGCTCAGAGCTGCCACAGGCTGGGGTAAGTACTTCTCTGGCCACTAGGGGCACCCTCAGTCACATGCAAGGTAGACTGTCTTCAGGCTGACTGCTGTGTCACCTCTTCCAGGAGGCCTTTCTGGCCCTGCCCTGGACAGGGGCCCATCTGTGTGCCTCCTACCCAGTTTCCCCTCCCTCCTTTGCACGTCTGCTGTGATGGGACTTGTTAGGTCCTCTGTTGCATCTCCATCTGCCTCCCCTACCCAGGGCTCCACAAGAGCAGGTGGGGTCCAGTGCCCCTGAACTCCAACTCTCTTTTCATCCTGGAGCCTTCTACCCCATGGCCTCTCTGGGTTATACCTCTGTCCTTGTCTGCCCTTGTCCTCTCTCTTCCTCTGTCCCTGGCCCTCTCTTTGTTGATGATGTGCTATCTCTCTCTTTCCAGAGCTTGAGCCATTTACCTACCCAACCTGGCCACTGTCCTACCCTGCACTAGCCCATGTCACTGGGTGCTGGCCTTAGCCAGCAGGCTCGTTCTGCACTCAATCTGCTTATTTCTCTGTCTCTCCTCCTTCATTCTCCCTTTCATAGGTTTTCTTGAGCCAACAATCTCACCCATTCCCTCCAAAACTGGATTCTATTTTTATGAGTTCATGAAGGATCACAGCTTTCCCTCAACCTCCCTGGGCTTATGCAGAGGGCGGCTGACCCGGGCTCCTGCCCAGGCAGTGCTTTCTCCTGGGACCCAGTGCCATTTAGCCTCTCTGAACCCTGGCCCTCTCGTCTAGGGAAAGGGGGTGAAGAGACCCACTGTGAAGGTTGGTTTTGAGGCGGGAGAGACCCTCAGTAACTGGTAGATGTTATCAGGAGGGCAGGAGATGGTGGGGTTGTCTCTGTGGTTGATTTCCTGTCTATTTCGGGCTGGGTGGGGACAATGGCAGGAGAGCGCCTGCGCACACAGGCCTGGAGGCTGACTCCCCCAGCTTGACCCCAGACCCAGCCCCTCTGTGGCACTTCAGTTCTTTCTGCCCTGGGATCTGTATCGAGGGGTCATGCTTGGGGCCTTCAGCTTCAGGAGCTCACTTTCCCTGCCCAGCCCCATCTCCTCCATTTTATAAGAAAGTAGATTCCCTAAAGTCGCCTCTGAACCCCAGGCCAGAGCCCAGGACGAGGCTACTGAGTGGTCGTTCCGGGGCTCTCCTGCTTTCTCTCTCCCTCCAGCACGGCCGCCTCACCGCCCCCGCCGCCCCTGCAGCCCACACACAGCCCTGGGACCGCGGGGCCAGCCTTGCAGCTCTCAGAGCGGCTTCAGCAGCGGGAAGAGCCGGGCCCCACCAGCAGCACCTGCCGCCCCCAGCCCACCCTGGGCCTCCTCCCCGCCATTGTGGCCGGCGTTGCAGCCTCCCTCCTGCGACACCGCCTTGGGCCCTCCTGACCTTGGCCACCAGTGCAGAGGACCCAGAGAAACCACAGGAGGGTGTGTGGCCACCCCCCCCACTGCCCCTGCCACCACCTCCGGGGTGCCTGACACCTGACGGGCAGTCCAGACGGGATCCGTTAGAACACTAGAGCTTTATTGTACCCGAGTTACATCTTCTTTTTTGTAGAAGGATCTTAATTTCCCATAGTGCTATGGGGCTCTTTTGTAAAATATGTGTCCATATTAAAAAAGAAAAATGTATTTATTCTTACCGATAAAACTATTTTTATGTGGCCTATGTTAACCCTTTAAGTAGCCCCAGCACCAACCCAGGAGGTGAACCCAGGCTGCCAGGAGGTCTGCAACTTCAGGCAGACCATGGCCTTGAACTGGCTTGCTCCTAGGCCCACAGCCTCCACTGTCTGGGTTTGGCTTCTCCCACCACGGGGACCTCAGAGAGAGGGGCAGGCAGATAGGCTTATTAGCTTTTGAAGCTGGATCTGGGAGCCAGAGATGTGAACGCTGACGACTTCCCTCCCGTGGCTGCATCCTAGGGTGGGAAGGTACTTTAGGAAAGAATGCTGCTATTTTGAAAACCCTGAGTGTCTGTGAACTGGCCTTCCAGAGCTCTCGGTAAGTGTTTGGACCAAAGCACGGGGGTGAGGGAGGGATGGTGGTGCCGAGGGGGGCCATCCCCCAGCCCTCTGTGACAAATGGTTAAGTTGAGATCCAAAGAGAGGAAGGTGGTTGCCCAAGGTCATGCAGCAAGTGGGAGAGCCGGGGTGTGAATCCAGACCCTTCTGTTCTGGTTTCATTAGTCTTCTTTGAGCCTGGCTTGTAGAAGAGCCTGTTGAAGTCACGGCCAAACTGAGTGAGCTGAGTCCAAGGCAGGTGTGGGCACAGAAGGGCCATTTTAGGGACAGAGGCTCTAGGAGTCGCACAGTAATAATAATCCTAATGTAAGCCACCCTTTGTCCCGAACCTGCAGCACGGCAGGCATTTTGCACACTCACTTTGTCACTGATCCTCATGCCAGTTCTGTGAGATGTGATTGTCCCCATTTCACAGATGAGGAAACTGAGCCCCCCCCCCCAACGGATAAACTGACTTGCCCAAGGTCACCTGGCTGGGACATGACCCCAGATCAGTATGATTCCGAAGCAATGCTCGTCCCCTGGACCGTATTTTGCCATGTTCTTTCTGCACAGGGAAGCTCCAAGGAAAGGAGATCTCCCCCAGATGGGCCAGCACAAGCCCCTTGTCCCAGCCCAAGAGACCCCTTGGCCACAGTCACTCATGTTAGCCCCTCTAAACAAGGGGTTCTGGCAACAGCTTGTGCACAAGCTTGTGTCCCATGCCCCAATTTGTCTTATCTTGGAGCTAGTGAGAGGCTTTCCTACCAAATCAAGGGCTGGCAGGTGGGAGAATCTGGGCAGGCAGGCAGGTAATTGAGACTTGGGGAGACTGACCTCATTCCTCTGCCTCCAGCGTGGTAGCTGAGAAAGCAAAGGACCCAGGTTGCCTTCCTCCTTGCCCTAAATCCTCATTGGACTGGAGGCTCACCAGTTACAGAGTTCTGGAACCCAAGAGCAGAAAGGGTCCCTCATTTGACAGATAAGAACAATAAGAGTAATCATGAGGCCCAGAGAGGGGAGGCACTTCCCTAAGATCTCACAGCTGGGTGGGTGTGCTGACTCCCAGCCCAGTGCTCCACGGCATCACCACACCATGGACTTCCCTGGCAGGCCTGGCGCTGGCTGATTAGACCCAATGCCATTGTGCCCCTCCCCGCAGCTGTCTCCCTTTTGAGACAGAATTCCGGGCAGCTCTGGATGACTAGAGGTCCCATGAGCATCTTGGCCAGCAGTGAGCTTCTTTTCATCTTGGCCCCAAATGGGCATGTTTGAGCTTGAGACCTGGCAGGAGCCCTGAGATCTGCTTCAGAGGGTCCAGCCAGCCCCATGGGCATCACGTTGTAAACTGAACTTGACCCCGTGGCCTCGAACTGGCTGGAGTCCATTTGTCTTTGGCAGAGCTGTGGTTTCCTATTCCTGAGGGGGAAGGGGCTTCGCTGACTTCCAGCGCAGGCTCAGAAGGCCTGTCAGACATCGAACAGACGGTGCAGAGCACTCGGCCCATGAAATAAGTGTCAAGGAATTGGAGGCACGCAGGCCAGATCTCGCTCAGTTCAGGGCAGAGTGTGGCATGAGATGCACTCAGACGAAGAGGTGAATTAAAGAGGAAGGCTTTGGGTAACAGTCTGCGTACCCGACTACGTGCCCAGATCTGTGCCAGGCACGAAGCCAAAGAGGTAAACCAACAAGCCGTGGGACTGCCGAGCATGCGCGGTACCAGGCCTCATCTGTGCACCTTTCCTGGCCCGGAGGAACCCCCCTGTCATCGACATGGAACAAGCAACCCAGTCATAGGTTCCTAGAAGGAACTTTAGAGGTTGTCCTACCCAGGCCCCTGACCATAGACAGATTCAGCTCTCGTCTTCCCCAGATCTGGTCCTTTGGAGAGCTTGGGAAATTCCAGACGTTCCCTCCGGCAAGCGCTCAAGTGTTTAAAGAAAGATGGATGGCGGCAGATGGGTGGGCTGGCTGGTTAGGTAGGCCTGCGCCGACGAGACAGCCAGAGCTAATGTTGATCAGACGTCTGCAGCCTGAGCTCATGGATCCCAGCAGCCCACCCACTGGCCAGGCTGGGAAACGAACCGAGCTTATGTCCCAGAAGACCTGAGGCACGTCTGGGGAAATCTGTGCGGCTGGGTCACTGAATTCTCTCATCCCAAGCCAGGGAACCACCACACCGTCCATAGCTACTTAAACATTTTGGATGACCTGTCCACCACTGCTGACATTTCTTCCAGCATGTTCTATGTGCCTGACCTCATAAAAAGTCCCTGTTGCTCCGAGAGCCCCATGTCCTTTTCTTACGGCTTTCATGGTTGACCTTCATGTGGTGGAGAAGATGGAAGGACTAAGAGCCAGCAGGCTAAGTGACCTGCCCGAGGTCAGGGGTGGCCCTTGGTCCCCCATCTCAGGAAAACTGACCGAATGGCCCAGGAGCATTGTGGAAGCTGCCAGCATGGCCACATCCTCCTAGTCTGTTCTGACACACCAGCAGCAGAGTGAAGGCAGGGAGAGTGGAGATGTTAGGTTGCAGGGAACTGCAAAGGGCCACCACAGGCCCCTCCAGCTGAGATGCAAAGACCCAGAGTGGATGAAGCACGGGAACTTGCACCGGCTGGCAAATTTGCCTTTGTGCCAAATCACCACAAGCTGATTTTTCTCATACGAAATACTCCGCCATCTATTGCCATGCCCTAGCTATGTCGGGACAAGCCTTGGGGCTCAGGACCCTAGTTCCACCTTCCCAGTCTCCAGCCTGGTGCCCTCGTCACAATGGATCCCAAAGAACGGTCCTCCACCAAAAGGAACATTTATGAAAACCACCATGAAGGACACGAAAGGCTCCACCTGGCAACTGCAGCTCTGATGGTGTCCCGTGTGGCAAGAACGAACCAGGGCTGGGGATGTTCCAGTGACTGTGGAGTAAGAGCAGGAGTCCTCGGCCTGGCCTTCCACACCCTCCATGATCAGGCCCTGCTGACTTTGCCAGCCACATCACCCATCTCTCCTACTCTGTGCCCAGCCAGACTAAATCCTATTTGTCATTTCTCGAATCAATAGCATGTGTCACACGTGCCACTCCCTGGGCCTGGAAACTCCCTTCTCTTTCCACAAGTCCTCATTTTTTGAGGATTGACACAGATAGCACTTCCTCCAGGAAGCCCCTGTGATTCTTTTTTGCTTTTTTAGCATCTATCCCAACACCCACTGATAAGTGTTGAGACTATAATTGCGTATCTGCTCTCCTAATGGACCACGAGCTCCTTAATGGCAGGGGTCAAATAATTCGTCTTTGGATCCTCATCTGACACAAAGATGGCCCTCACAGATGTGTAGGGAGGGAAGGAGGAAGGAAGGAATGCAGAAAGGAAAGGAGAGACAAAGACCTCAGCTCTGGCGATGGAATTATGTCTACAAAGCCAAAGCTGTCCCCTGCAGGTGGTGAGTTTGCTGTCAGCAGAGGTGTGAGCAGGGCAGTAGGCCCGCCGGCTGGAGATGTGGTATGAGAGCTGAAGTCTTGCCAAGGGACTGGTGTGGATGACATCAAGGGTCCCTCCTGGCTCTGTAATACTCAGGTTCTTTGAACATTGTTATTTTTCCAAAAATTCATCTAAGCAGCCAAAAACATCACCCGGCCTGGCCATCTAAACCAGTAGGGTTCAGGAATCCGTCCAGCCTCACACCCCCGTTCTTCAAGAGCCCAGCCAGGCCTGACGTAAATTGGCAGGTTTGCCCACTACCCTGAGGCAGGGGGACTTCTAGGTGGTGGGGGAGGGCTAGACTGGAACCCAAGGCCCCTGACCCCCAGCCTAGAGCTCCTTCCCTCCCTGCCCCCGCCTATGGGGTACCGAAGAGAGGGGTCACGAGGACTGATCAACCCCCTACTGGTCCTTTCCTGGGAGTATGGGCACAGCCTCAGATCTCCCCATCCTTTCTCCAAACATTGGCTCTTCCTCTCCAGAGGTACTCTGGACACTCTTTCACCTTGCTGGGTGACCTTGGGCAAGCCCCTGCTCCTTTCTGAGCCTCCATTTCCTCATCTGTTAAATGGAGACCTTGTTTCCCACCCAGGCCATTCTGGGGGCTGGAGGAATGCTGTGTGCCATCTCAGGGCTCCATGACGGTGAGGCAGCACCCCTCCTCAGGCTCCGTGCTCGGCTTTCCTCCCTGGCCCCGCAGACTGCCCTGGGGTCAGGAGCACGTGGCAGGCAGGGCACTGTGATGGAGTAGCATGCCTTCAGGTTTGCTCCCTCCCAGACCTGCTGCAGGGAAAGTGGGCTTTGGACGGGACCTGAGTCTAAGACAGTTCCAGGGAGGCTCTGAGACATCTTGGGCCCCAGGGGCTGGGGCAGCAGAGGCAGCTGGAGCTCCTGCCCCATT